CAGGTGACCCACGGGGTCTGGTCTGCTCTGGTCAGGCAGGAGGTGGTGGGATGGTCACCAAGGTGGAGCGGTGCCAGCGTGGCTGAGGGCACTGGAAAGGAGGGAGCCCAGGCCAGGGTTCTCGGCTGAAGGTGCTGTGCAGGCAGCAGCCATGGGGCCAGGGGGATGGAGGCCATGAGCCCATCCCCACTGTGTCGGGTCTGCCGGCAGGTACCACCTCTCCTACCTGACAGACGGGTGCTGGAGCACCGTGAGGCCGTCCGTCTTCTTCACCACCAGGTCGGATGGGACCCTGGACGTCTGGGACTTCCTCTTCAAGCAGAACAACCCCTCCCTCAGCCTGAAGGTTGGGTCCCCAGTGGCAGCAGGGCGCTTGGGAGATCTGCCCTGCCCTGCCCAGAGCAGGCAGAGCCGGGGGAGAGCGTCCCATCCTGCCTGCACGGAGCTGGGGATAAGCTCCTCAACCTTGAGCTGTGCCTGGAGCTCGGCATGCCCCAAAAATTTGCACATAGGCTTCTGTTATTGGCAAGCATGTGGGTTTGCCTCTGTCAGCTCTGACTTCCCCCACAGGGCGTCGCGTCAGGCCTCAGTGCCACCACCCATCTGCCCTCCCTCCCCAGGTCTGCGACGAGCCCCTCTCCAGCCTGCGCCTGCAGGACAACGGGTGCGTCGTTGGCTGCGGCTCGAAGCTGGGCACCGTCACCCTGCTGGAAATCTCCTCCGGGCTCTGCACCCTCCAGAGGAACGAGAAGACCCTGGCCAGCGCTGTACGTGTGCTTCGGGCCACGAGCCAAAGCTCTTGGCACTGCTGGCACGTCGCTAGTCCCATGCACAGCACACAGGGACTAGTCCCTGTGCAGAGCACGCTGTTCCCTGGGGTCCCCTGCTTGGCCCCGCACCCCTCAGCCTCCCCCCTCTGCCCCAGATGTTTGAGCGGGAGACGAAGCGGGAAAAGATCCTGGAGGCTCGGCACCGGGAGCTGCGGCTGAAGGAGCGCGCCAGGTCGGAGAGCCAGGAGATGGAGGTGGAGGAGAGTCCCTGCGAGGTGCTCGACCGTGCCCGCAGGGAGTTCTTCGAGGTCATCGAAGCAGAGCTGCAGAGGAGGGTGCAGGCAGAGACCCAGCACGTGCATGGCAAGGTACCGGGGACGGGACGAACCGACAGCCGCAGCAGGGACTCCCTGCCGTGGGGCAGGGGACGTGGGTCAGCCTCTGCCTTTCAGGTTAAAGACCACACAGGAGAGGCTGGGGCAGCAGCGCAGGGGGAAGAGAGCCAGCTGCCCAAGGACAAGGAGGAGGAGGAGGAGGAGAAGGATGCTGCCAAGGAGGAAGAGGAGGAGAAGGATGCTGCCAAGGTCAGTGCACTCCAGCTTTGCGTTGCCTTCCCCCTCCTCGCTAGGGTTGCTGCTCTCTGGCTCATGCAGGGGTGAGGCTGCTGTCCCCGAGCCGGGCAGAGCTCACAGGGTCTCTGCCCCCGCGGGGTGGCGAGCGGAGGGCCCCGCACGGCTCCCTGACCCCACGCCTGTCTCCTCTGCAGGAGCCGTAGCCAGGACAGGACCCGTGGGTCGCACAGAAACCCTCGCGTTGGTCACAGATGCTCCTTGGCTCCTTGCCCTCCTGATTTTTTTTCTTTGGGGTGAATAAACAGGAGTTTTCCACGTCACGTTTCCTGTTTTATCACAGCAGGGTTGAGCAGAGGGTGGGAAAGCCGCGTCCTCTCGCTCTTCATCCCTCCTCCTCGGGCCAGGCCACGGATCAAAGCCAGCTGCCGACCACGGCGGAGCACCCGTGGCAGCAGGGTGTCCCTTGGTGCGTCCCCAGCCGGAGGAGCCGGGCAGAGCAGGGCAGCTCATGGCAGCAGCGGGATCCCGGTGTGGCACCGTGCCCCTTCCCAGCTGGAGGGTGATGCTGAGCAAAGTCCTGTGCCCCCAGCCCGGGGGTATCCCTGCGAGACCCGCCTGCGGCGCCGGGGCCGGGGTTACCAGCGGCGGCCTTGCAGCTCCGCCAAGCGCCTCGTTAAGGGCCAGCCCTAATTGTACCAGCAGCCAGAGGTGGAAGGGCATTTCCCCAAGCCGTGCACTGGCTGTGCCCCGCGTGGGACAGGCGCATTTCCACCCGGCTGATGGCACCCTGACCATGCCGCGGGGCTGCGGGCGCAGCTGGGAGAGGGCACGGAGCGTGGCCAGAGCTGCACGCGCCACCGGCCACTGCGCCAACAGGAGCCGGCCACGCTGCCGGCGTTGTGTACGGCTCAGCATCTCCAGGGGAGCGGGGCGGAGGCATGGGATGGGGAGATGCCCAGGCTGGGGGGCACCCATGGGGCCAGGCCCACAGCCCCCCCCAGGAGGGCAGAGGGGCTGTGCCAGTGCCCAGGGAAGGAGGCAGGGGAGAACCAGGCTGGGCTGGAGGTGCCCAGCTGAGCTGTCCCGCGGGCAGTGGGGGCTCTTGGGGACAGGGCTGCAGTGAGGTGACAGAGTGGGGATCAGCCCACCCCACGAGGGGCACCTCTGCTTGCAGGCTCCCCTCGGCCCCTGTGCCCTAGCGATGACGTGAAGGCTCCAGGGGACAGGGAGGACCAGCAGCTGGCGGTGAGTCCTGGCCAGTGGCATGCTGTCCCTGAGGGGCTGGGACACAGAAGGAAGGGGGGGACTCAAGGGGGGGGCAGGGTGGCTGTGTGGCTCAGCCCATCCTGCCACCCCCTGGAACAGCCATCCCTGCTGCCGCACCTTGGCACTGCCAGGCTGGTTTGGTGGGTGCCGTTGGGGCACCCTGGAGGGTTTTGGGGCACAGAGGCATGGCAGCAGCCCCCGCCATGGTCCCCCCGCTCCTGCTGTGCCACCACAGGCTCACCCGTCCCCGAGCCGCCTGGGCAAGGGGCCGGGTGCCAGCAGGAGGGCACGCTGCCCGGCTGCTCCTTTAAGGCCAGTCCCAGCGGTGTTCATTTTCGTCCCGGGAAAATGAACTTCTAATCGCAGCGCCTGGTATGGGGGGGTCCCGGGGGCTGCGTCAACACCGCAGTGCCGAAACCTGGGCTGCCGCACCCCACCGCGATGGCTCGCGTGCAGGTCCGTATCCCCGTCCCCCTGTCCCCATCCCTGCCGCCCCGTGCTCACCCCCACCCCATGTCTTGCAGGTGGCTCTTCGCATCCGTCCGATGAGCGCGGCCGAGCTGGCGGAGGGGGCCAGGCCCATCGCCCACTGCGTGGATGAGCAGGTACGGCCACAGGACGGGCACCCGGGGGTTCATCCGGCACTGCCTGGCCTTGGTGCTTCACCCCCCCTGCAGGGTGCTTCACCCCTTGCAGGGTGAACAGGGCCAGGTCCCCTGGGGCAGGATGCGACCCTCGGCGCGGTGCACGCCCGGGGATGTCCCTGGCAGCACCCAGTGCTCTCTGCAGTGGACATGTGCCAGGAGCAGGCTGGGGGGGCACCCTGCAGCCTCACAGCCCCCGCAGGAGACCCTACAATAACAAAGCAGTAGGGTGGGAAATTCTGAGGGCTCTGGGTCAGGATCCCCAAACCCTTCCTGCAGTCCTGCAGGCCACCAGTGCTACCTGTCCCTGTCCCCAGTCCTGGGTGGAGAGGGGGGGAGCAGCAAGGAGGGGTAGCTTGCGCTGCCAGAAAGGTCAAGATCTGCGTTGCAATGGGGGCTGGCAGGGACGCCAGGAGCAGGGGACCCCGTGAGGGACAGGGACACGCAGGGACACACAGGGACACGCAGGGACAGGGACACGCAGGTCCCTCTGGGGTGCCGTCGTCCCCAGGCGCCTCGCGGGCTGTGCTCACAGAGGTGCCTTTGTGCCGCCGTGCCCAGGTGGGTGCAGCAGGGTGGCCGGCCCGGCAGGTCCCCTGGCACCGCACACAGAGCTGGCTTTGAGCCCCGGCTGGCCTGGGGACAATGGGACGATTCAGGAGCACAAAGGGCCCCACGCCTGGGCACCTCCTGCACCCCAGCACGGAGGGGATGTGGCCCCGGCAAAGCAGGGGAGGGATGCACACGGGGTCCCATGAAGGCTCAAACCCACTGGGGAGCACATCCCAGTGCTCCCCCCCATGCCAGGGTGCCCCCTTTGGCTCTGGTGCCACTGTCTTTGCTGCGGGCGATGTGGGTTGCCCGGACAGGAGCACAGGGGAAGATGCAGCTCCAAGCTCCAGAAGCCCCATCACCAGTGGGGTGACGTGCTCTCCCGCGGGACCCCTCGTCCCCTGGCTGGGATGGAGCTGCTCGGCAGACCTGGGCCATCCCAGTGCTCCCGGGGAGCCACGCTGCAGGGACACCCCCGTGTCAGGGCTGGAGAGAGCATCCTGGTGCACCCGCCTGTCCGTGCACCCCCTTGGGGATCTGCACTCACAGTGCCACCAGCCCATGGGGGTCCCAGCACCTCATTACACCTTGGGGCTGCTAATTAGCACCGTTAACGGTGGTGCAATGCCCAGCATGTCCTGTGCCTCCACCGGAAGCTGGAGGTGACCCCGGAGCAGAGGGGTGGTGGGTGCCCAGGGCCAGGACATGCCCCCTGGCCAGCCCCACTCCTGTCTCCCAACAGATCGTGGTGCTGCGAGACCCCATGGAAGACCGTGATGATGTCCTGCGTGCCAGCCGCTCCCGGGAGAAATCCTACATCTTTGATGTGGCTTTCGACTCCACGGCCACCCAGGTGGGTGCCTGAGGGCATGGGGGGGATGTGGGGCTGGGGGAAGGCAGGCTGGGGTGCTGGGGGCCATGGGCCCCGGGCCCTGCTGGGCCCCTCGCTGGCCTGCCTGCAGCTGCGGGAGGATGCCAGCGGCACCGTCCGGGTGGCTGGCATCACCGAGGTCTCTGCCATCAGCGCCGAGGAGGTGAGCCCGCGAGCACCCATGGGGCATGGGGGGGATCCGGCGAGTCCCCCCGTGCCCAGCGCTGCCCATCTGCCCCAGGTCATGCAGCTACTGGCACGGGGGAACAGGCAGCGGACGCAGGAGCCCACGGCCGCCAAACCCAACTCGTCACGCTCCCACGCAGTGCTGCACGCCACCGGGCAAAGGGAAGACCTACACCATGCTGGGCACTGACAGTGAGCCTGGCATCTGCGCCCGCACCCTGGGTGACCTCTTCCAGGCCATCAAGGACACCAGCGGTGACACAGAGTACGAGGTCTCCATGTCGTACCTCGAGGTGCGGTGGGGGAGCATGGGGATGTCCCCCTCCCCAGGGAGGGCAGGGGACAGCACATGGCCCCAAACCAGGCATCTTTACACCCAGCGTGGGATGCTGTGTCCCCATGGGTCCCCACGCTGGGGGGGTCATGCCCAGCTCCTTCCCCCTGCCCAGATCTACAACGAGATGATCCGGGACCTGCTGAGCCCCTCGCTGGGCTGCCTGCAGCTGCGGGAGGATGCCAGCACCGTGGGCAGAGGATGAAGGAGGGAGCCCACATCAACCGCTCGCTGCTGGCCCTGGGCAACTGCATCAAAGCCCTGAGCGACCGGGCAAGGACCAAGTACATCAACTATCGCGACAGCAAGCTGACCCGCCTGCTCAAGGTGCGGCTGGGGGTCCCAGCTCCCCGCGGCAGGGTCCGAGCGGGGGAGGGGGCACAGGCTGCGCCCACCCTGGTCCCTCTCAGCCATGCTCTCCCTGGCCAGGACTCGCTTGGGGGCAAGAGCCACACGGTGATGATCGCCCACATCAGCCCGGCCAGCACCGCCTTCGAGGAGTCCCGCAGCACCCTCGCCTATGCCCGCCGCGCCAAGAGCATCCGCAGCACGGTAGGGCCGGGAGCGCGGGCACCCTCCTCCCTGGGCACCAGCCCTCCCCTGGCCCCCTCCCCAAGCAGCCCCGTCCCCGCTGCCCCCCAACAGGGAGGGCATGGGGTGTTCCTCACCCTTACGCTGCCCCACGGGTGCCTGGAGCAGGGGAAGCACTCAGGGCATGGCTCTGCTGGCTATGGGATGTTCAGGACCTGCTCTGTGGCCACATGCTGCTTGGGGACACCGGCTGGGGACACCGGCTGGGGACCCTATGGGCACCTGCTCCGCATGCGCTGCTTGGGGACACCGGCTGGGGACCCTATGGGGATACAGCCACGCTCTGCCTGGGGACCTTGCTTGGGGACCCTACTCAGAGACATCCTTGGGGACCTGCTCCACCAGCTCCATCCTGCTCAGGGACCCCCCTTAGGACCCTGCCTGGGGCCGGGCTGTGCTGGGGCCATGGGACGCTCAGACCAGTCCCTGTCCCAGGTGAGGCACAACCTGCTCAGCGTCTCATCCCGCGTGGCACAGCATGGCAGCGTCGTGGCTGACCTGCGCAGGGAGATCCAGCGCCTCGCGGGCCAGGGGGACACCGGGCCAG